TTAGGATTAGGACAGATCTCCGCGTGCTTCTCATTATATGTAGATTTCAAAGGCCGGTTAATAAAATTTGAGGACAACCCAACTTGATACGAATATTACCATTAAAATATATATTTATTATAATCGACCCTTAGACTGGACTGAAACATGAAGAGATAGATTTTAATGTCGGAATTTTCAAACATGCCTGTGTTCTTTTTCAAAGATACGAGGAATAAACTAAGAAGTGGGACTTCCTCTTCTGAGGAATGTTTTTCGTAGTGGACTCCCTGTGGAAATTATACTCTCTTAGTAAACCCACATCCCTGTTTAATCGCTCAATTTGCGAATTTATTTTGATAATAAATTTCAACACTGATCTGCGCCTTTCATCTCGACTGTTTCATAGTGCCGCCAAACGAACGCATCTGATGGCATCAACGCTATGAAATGGCTGGTTGCAGTGTGCAGCGACAGTTAAATTTTTGTTGTATCTGATGGATTTGTTATATTTAATGAACCGAAGACGGAATTCTGTTGCAGTTTCTACCACATAATTTTCTCTATTTCATTTGTGGCAGAAGACTAAATATTTGAACTTTCACACTTAAGGAGCTGATAGTTTGAATACTGCGTGAGTGCCAGGCATGTTGAAATTGCTATTAGATATATCTACATACTTGGCAACGCGGTTTATCACAGGTGACATTCCCTTGGTGAGGTTCCGAATAATGTATACTGGATGCTGTTAAAAGTGTGTGTAGTTTGAGGGACTAGCGCCTAGCGTGAAGAGGGTCTTCATTGAATATTTTTCTAATTGTTTGGTCGAGTTTTAAATACTGGAAATGTTTTTTTTTTTAATATATGGGAAAGCTTGTGTATGTTGTAATCGAACTGATAATGTGGCCGGGGTCATCTTACAGATGTATTTCTAAACAAACTTTGGTAAACATTATTTTACTTTGTGAAACTGTTTGAGATTCCGTTTTATTTACAAGCACTGAATGTAATCTCTACTTGTGTTATTTAAGAAAAGGTACCTCTATTCAGTTCTTTAGGGTAGAAACAAAATTTTGGCCGGGTGTGTTTAATGCTTAAAATACTGAGGCTCTTTCCGTATGGCATAGCTCAACGAACACTTTCTAAGTAAGTAACATCTCTCGTCGGGAGTTTCGGCATTTTGTTGTGGCCTTGTTAGGGCCAGAAATAAAGAAACAAAAGAGAAATTGAGAAATATATTATCAGAAACAGTAATACAAACATATAAAAACGAGAGTGTTGCAGCAACACTTTTCGGTGCGACTGTCACAGGTGACTGCTGGAAACTTCACTCTCCAAAAAGGCAGTACCTGCTCCTATTTATAGCTAGGAGAGTCCATGCGTGCGTGTGTAAATTACCATAATATATCTATATATAACTTGTATTTTAGTATCTAAAACAAAAAAATACATTTGATTAAATAACTGACAGAATGGGTGGATTTTTTTTCTTATCTTTCGTAACCCAGGTATAGATTATATTGCATGAAATACTGTGTTCTCTTTAAGACTTCTGCCCATATTAGGTTGAAACACCGGTTCTCGTACGAACACATCTAGCCTTGCTAGTACTTACGGCTGACCGTTTGTACGCTTGGATGTGCAGGTTGGGTAATTCATAACGAATTGGAAGTGAAAATCAGAGAGCCGAGTTCCAATTCCAGTTCGATTCCTTATATTCACTTACGTGCAAATAGTCTTGGGAAAAGTATGAACCCACTTTTTCTGAATACAACTATGCTTTAATTTGTAGGACTTGTATCAGTAAAATCAATATTATCTCCAACATTTCTAACAATATTTTCTGGCTTTAAATAACCTGGAAAGGGTTGATACGCCAAAAATAAAAATCAATCGATCAGTCTTTAAACTAGTCTAGTTGAAAGAAACATTACATTCAAAGCCAGCCTTAAAAACAATGGACACTGTTTGGAAATCTGGATCGAAACATCTAATATTTGTATACCTGTTTAACACATGGTAAACCTACGACACAAATGGTAAGGCTTTCCTGTGTTTTCGTGCAGCGTTACATTTTTCGTATGATTCCTAGGAGTAACGTCAATTGCAGGAAAACTAATCGACAGTCGAGACACTAGTGTTTGTGTCTGGGCGTGATCACGAATGTCTCAAATTTCAGCATGCACCTCGAAAATAGATTCGTATTACTGCACACCAGTGCAAATGACTGAATCTGAGGAAAAAAATAGAAGTCGATTACACCCTGTCACCCCAGTGGATCTAGCACTGACCGTATGGTGGAAGAAAGGAAACTAAAACGGTTGTTTCAATTAATTTGCACTAAGACGTACTTAATATCTGATTTGTTGCAAACAGAATTGATATATTTACTATATTAGTAATATGTCTGCTGAGTAGGCAAAACGTATATTTTGATGTTACCTTTGAAACTTTTAGTAAGATTGTCCATTCATTTTCTCAGTTCAGAGCTTCGATTACTATTGGTACAGTCTCAGTATTTATTACCAACGGCTTGTTAATCTCGATCTGAGGTCCTTGTATCTTCATCGCCAGATCCTTGTATCTTCATCTCCAGATCCTTGTATTTTCATCGACGTGACCGACGTCAATATCAGCTTGCCAAGTCCGAATTTGTGTTCATATTCCTTTTCTCGATAGTAAATAATGTAAATTACACATTGTAAACGATTTTGTTATTCTTTACATTCGAAGTGTAAAGATTTTATATTCTTTTCAAGTACCAAGCAAAATTCGCAACAAAGTATAAACTCCAAAATTGTTACGTACTTTCATTTCTCCTATATGGTCGTCAATGATGGACAATCTCCTCGCAGATAAAGGAGGGACTCAAACAAAAGATATGTTGTTCTGCATAAAGATACTGAGAATACCATGGACAAATGTGACGAGCTACAATGGAAATGGAAGCAAAAAGACAGTATAATTAACATCAGGAAGATAGTTATAATTTCTTGCGAACATAATGAGAAAAGAGATCTGGGATAATTTGATACCCACAAGACATTTTTAAATGCATAATTTACCAAGAGAGCTTCAGTAAATTGATGGTTGAACAAGGTTTAGGAGAGATGACAAAAAATAAAATTTATTCCGAGCTACTAAGGAAAGGAAGTTATGGTGATCCATGAATTTACATTTATTTTTCAATCGTTATGATTGCAAGCAAAGCACTACAGCCACTAAAACGTAAGGATTTACAGGGTGTGGAGGAATTAGGAAAAGAAACATTAATAACGAGCAGAGAGAGAAAAGAGCAATCAGGAGGACAGTAGATAGTGATTGACATTGCATTTAAATTTTTGCAGATTAAATTCCGCTGGAAATGATGAAGCCAGAAGTAAGTTCCACAAGCAAAACGTGCGAGAAAAAAACTATTAGCATAGAACTTATGGCTACCTCTAAAATATGGCTTAAATTCATAATGTCAAGGTACCATAGCGATGAGCTCATCCTAACAATGATATTGAAAGTAGTTATAAAAAGGAGGGGGGCACAGAGAAGCAACCTTCCGGTAGTGAGCAAGTGACTGAAGCCGAGCAGCCAGTTCAGGACCAATAATATTGTTGATTGTTGTTTGGATCTTATCAAGAGGCTCCCATGTAAAAAGCAGGAGCACAGGACCATATATGGTAGTTATTTTCTATACATACTGAAGGAACGTGGTAAAGAAGAACATTTGACTTAATTTTCAGCTGGTTTATTTTTTTCAACATATAGTTTTTTTCTCAGAATAATTTTTGTTTCCTGTTTCATTCATTAATATGAAATATTCTGTTACCGCTAATAAAACCTAGTTAATAAACAATAAAGTGACTTTGCAAATACAGTTATGAAAGTTTATGTTTCCTGGCAAAAAATATGTAACCAAAATACTAGTTATAAATCATGGAGTGCTTTTCAACATGTGTGAAATATACTTCTCTCACACAGTGAAGTATTTTATGAATGCGTAAAGGAATAACTTACTCTGCCATAATTAAGTAGAATGGAATTATTAATACTGCCTTAATAAACAAACTCTTTACTAAAATGATACTTTCAGCAAATAAGGTAAGACAGAATAAACTAATTAAACCAAAAAGACAATATATTTCTGTAGCATTTCTTTCTCCATCAAATCTTCTTTTACGGATTTCTCTAACCCGAAATCATTTTCCTTTCTAAAAACCATCGTTGTAGCTCTCAGATATCAATTCAGTCTACTAATTTCTCTAATTTGTTTAAAGGAATAATAACTTATTTTACGAAACTAAATAATAGAATTAAAAAAAGTGATAATATTGACTATAATGGATTGTAAGCGAAAGTGCAGAAAAGGAAAGGACAGTGCTTATTTGCAACGGCTTTAATCATTCATCGCAGAAATCCTAAACAAACAATCGATATGCCACCATTTATTATGTTCTATTTATTGTAAAACATTTGCTTTTTAAAAGAAAATATTTTGAACTGCAACAAACGAATCAGTAGTTCTTTTCTCATCATTAAATGAATTAAAGACAACGAGGATTAAAATTAAATCTTAAATTCTCTGATCAGAATTCTTTTGACGCCATTTTGTTTTCAAATAAAAGATGGTTCTATAAAATAGAATAATCTCAAAGGAAATGATCACTGCATTGAATGTCGTTTGCTTGTTGTTGCTGTATGTTTTAGTTAAATAATAAAGTGTAATTAATCTTCCTTTTCCTTTTTTTTGTTAAAAGGAACAAAAATGATTCATAATTAAATATAATCAATGAGATTCAAGCAAGCAGGAATGCTTCATAAAAATATTATCTATGTAAGTGAATGCCTCTCCTATAATAAGAATATGAAAATACAAGAAGGATTCGCAAAACGAACGATAAAAGAATGAATGAACAAGATTATCAGATTGTCGAAAAAGAAAGAAAGACTCGTGTATACGTCGAGCAAGTTTAGCCTTGACGTCGGTATTTCATTATATCAATCCATCATATTTTAGGAGACTTACGAAC